TAGTTGTCGTCCTTGTATCCGTCTAGATTTTTATGTCCAATCTATACAGGCATAATAGCCTATATTTTTGTCTGTTTAATATCTCTTTTCAATTCTTACATTACAAACACAGATAAACATATCACCAAAACCTGCTAGATCAACCCAGAGGGCGGCTTAGTGTAGAAATCTTTATGCTGCGCTCTACCTATTCATAGTCGCTTCCTTGGGTTGTCACCACCCGTTGTGGATATCGACGTGGCTCTCGTGTCTGAGTACCTTCGAGGAAACCGACAACTCTGACGCCGACGAGGAGGCCGTAGTCGACGTCGAGACGGTTATCGCCGACAACGAAGACGAAGTCTCCAACGAAGTCGTCGCCGAAGCCGCTGACGAGGTCGTTGTCGCCGACATCGATGCCACCACCGTCGAAGACGCCGAAGTTGACGTGGTCGCTATCGGTGCTGAGGACGTCGAGGAGACCGACAACGCTGACACCGACGAGGAGGCCGTAGCCGACGACGAGACTGTTGCCGACAACGAAGGCGAAGTTTCCAACGAAGTCGTCGCCGAGACAGCTGACGAGGTCGTTGTCGCCGACATCGATGCCACCACCGTCGAGGATGCCGAAGTCGCTGTCGTGGCCGAGGACGTCGAGGAAACCGACAACGCTGACGCCGACGAGGAGGCCGTAGTCGACGACGAGACGGTTATCGCCGACAACGAAGACGAAGTCTCCAACGAAGTCGTCGCCGAAGCCGCTGACGAGGTCGTTGTCGCCGATATCGATGCCACTATCGATGCTGACACTGATAGCGATGCGAACCGCAACTGATCACGTTCTTGTGCAGTGGCACCAATTCGATGGCTTCACGCAATGCTGTTGTAACGATTCTAATATATCGCATATTTTCTGTCCGACGTATCTATTACTTGCTGACGTTTAAAGAAAGTAGCTGTAGTGTGCGTGCTTGACTGACACGGCGGTCCCCCTTAACAGCTCTTTCGACCATGACGAGGAACATGCAAGTTGTGTTCAAGTGGCAGAAAAGGTTTTCAGTATTATGCGACGCAAGGAGCCCAAAGAAAAGTTTTCGAGAGCGGAGCTGTGATATCACTTTCATGCTAGATTTCGGCTCCCGTTGAAAGCAACCCGCCACACCTCCCCAAGGCTGAGGCGGTTATGAGAGACGCCGCATTCGTGTCAGGTATCTTCAACGATGGTCTCCAAGAATCTATGATGTCCATGTAATATATTCTCACAGGAGGTGGTTTTTGGTGGCGGAGCTTTGCTCGCACTTGGTCATTTGACGCCCCTTTCCAACCGCCTTGCATGCTTTTGCGCTGCTAAGCTCCAGAAGACGCTCCC